CACACATCTGGAATCTCACCAAAATTATTTTGGCTAATGTCAAGATTAATCAAATTGCGTAGACGAGTTACAGAATCTGCCGTCTGTTTCAGAGATTTCAGAGAGTTTTGACTTAGATTTAAAGTTTGCAATGAAGACCAAGCATCTTCACAGATTGTCTCATTTAAGCGCTTATTTGCGAGCAAATTATCATGAAAGTCCAGATACCGAAGTGATGAAAAATGTTTTGCAAGTTCGCATGATACCATGAAAACTCTAGAGCTTGCAATGGTGAGTCTTTTCAGTTTGTTTATTTGTGACTCCATACCTTTCAGGTCAGAAAACAAATGAAAGTTCTGAATCATTATATTTATTATTGATACTTCTTCAACAAAACTTTGCCCAGTCTTTTCAATTTCTTCAGTATTCCACATTCCTTGCCCCTCAAGCTCACAATCAATTGCCTCTAACTCTTGTAAAGATGTGATTTCTTTCAGTAATACTATTATTCGGACAATATGTTGATCTGTGAACGAAGCATCTTTCAATGTAAGTTTTCGTATCCTAAAAGGAAGTGTAGAGTTCTGCACCAAGCTTTTTATTTCAATCTCTAATTTGATTTCTCTCACTTCTAACCAAATGACAGAGTGCAGAAGGTCCCTGATAATTGCTGAGAATATCTTACTATTCCTTAAGTTTATGATCATGTGATTTATCTTCTTAATCAGTTTCAAACTTCCCGGCTCATACTGACTGAGATTGCCACCGTCAATCCACAACTTGTTGAGAAGCTCAATGCCCTCAAAGTTCCCTTGCCTTATTGTGGAGAACTGTGGGTTGCCCAGGTGCAGAGAGCTCAGGTTCCTCAGGCTAGAAAAGAGGGAGCTTTCCCCCAGGTCTCTGTAGGAATTGCCTTGAAGGTGGAGGTGCTGGAGTGAAAAAAGGTGCCCAAACCACACAGGGGACAAGCGAGCCAAGCTGTTATTTGATAAGTCCAAGAGCTCCAGTTTCCCGAGGGAGTCAAACGAATCCATGTCTATTGAGCTGATTTTGTTGGACTGCAGCAGCAGGGCTCTCAGGTTCACAGCCTGCTGCAGATCCTGGGAGCGGATGTGCTTTATCCTGTTGTGGGCCAGGTTTAACACTGTGATTTTGGCTGTGAGCCCTGGGGGGATGAAGTCCAACCCCATGGAAGAGCAGTTGCAAAGCTGAGTGGCATCGCATGAAGGACAAGCTTGCTTCAGCGCTTGCTCTTCAGAGAGGTTTGCAGCTAAGACCATGTAGATGGCCCACACTTGCCAGGTGTGTGTAGTTCTTGATTTGTGTTTTGTTTGTTTGGACATTTTGCTGTAGGAAAGAGAAAGGAGAGAAGGTAGTGTCAATTTTTAGTTTTGAACAGCAACTGAAAACAATTGAAAACCTGTGCAATTTTGTTTGGAAGTTCAGATTCAAATTTTTTCTTGTAAGAGTTATCCTGTGGTGGCAGTCATCTTCTCCTACTTCAGCTGCTCAGTCCTGCAAACATGGTGTGCTACTCATCTCTGGAGTACAGCCATATCATGTCTCAACAGTCATAAAGGACCATTCTCAATGTCCTGCCTTTTCATATGCACATTGGCTATGGCTCTCACCTCCTACATCTCTCACATTACACTTCCTCTCAGCAACAAAGATACAGCTGGATGTTTCAACCCTAAACAGGGGAAGATGTTAGATCATCAATGATCTGGATGAGGCAATTGAGCACACCCTCAGTAAGTCTGCAGACAACACCAAGTTGGGCAGCAGTGTTGATCTGCTCAAGGGTAGGAAGGCTCCACAGAGGGATCTGGACAGGCTGGATTGATGGGCCGAGGCCAGTTGTATGAGGTTCAACAAGGCCACGTGCCACGTCCTGCACTTGGGTCACAACAACCCCAAACAATGCTACAGGCTTGGGGAAGAGTAGCTGGAAAACTACCTGGTGGAAAAGGACATGGGGGTGTTGGTCAACAGCAGTCTGAATATGAGCCGGCAATGTGCCCAGGTGGCCAAGAAGGCCAAGAGCATCCTGGCTTGTGTCAGAAACAGTGTGGCCAGCAGGACTAGGGAAGCAATTGTTCCCCTGTACTCAGCACTGGTGAGGCTGCACCTGGAATACTGTGTCCAGTTTTGGGCCCCTCACTACAAGAAAGACACTGAGGTGCTGGAGTGTGTCCAGAGAAGGGCAACGAAGCTGGTGAAGGGTCTGGAGCACAAGTCCTATGAGGAGCAGCTGAGGAAACTGGGGTTCTTTAGCCTGGAGAAAAGGAGGCTCAGGGGAGACCTTATCGATCTCTACAATTACCTGAAAGGAGGCTGTCAAGAGGTGGGTGTTGGTCTGTTTTCCCAAGTAGCAAGTGATAGGACAAGAGGAAATGGCCTCAAGTTGCACCAGGGGAGGTTTAGATTGGATATTAGGAAAAATTTATTCACCGAAAGGGTTGTCAAACATTGGAACAGGCTGCCCAGGGAAGTGGTTGAGTCCCCATCCCTGGAGGTATTTAAAAGACCTGTAGGCGTGGCACTTAAGGACATGATTTAGTGGTGGACTTGGCAGTGCTAGGTTAACGGTTGGACTCAATGATCTTAAGGGTCTTTTTCAACCTAAATAATTCTGTGATTCTATGATTCTAACTGCTCACAGCCTTTGCAGCGTCAGCCTGCCCATCTAGTATGGCTAACTGGCAGGCAGAAGCCCGAGCATGTTCCCCCTCTCGGTGCTTTGAGTGGGCTGTGGCTTCCAACACCCCAAACTTTCCCAGAAGATATTTTGGGGTCCCCCACATGGAGTCTTACCAGCCTCAGGGCTTCTAAAAAGCAGAGCTGCGTAAGCTCCTGGCACACCTTTTTACACACTGTGTAAGCAATTTACATTCTTTACCGGAAAGGCAGAACAAACTGATATGCAACCAAATGAGTCTATCACCCTTTTCTGTAAATCAACACTGGTGATAGATGGGAATTGGATGTTACCATCACCCTATAAACAGGGGATGTAATTAGAACAATACTGATTTTAATTTACAGAAGGGCTGTGTTACCTGCCACAGGTGCCAAAGAACATTTCACCACTGGCTACACCAGAAAATAAGTCACAAGCTGCTGTAAACAGTTCCAGTACTGCAGACAAAGAGTAGCCCCAAATCCTGAATAAGCAGAGAGTAAATACTTACCTTGTGTACTGCATGCTGTGTTTCACTTTCCTCATGTGCTGATTGTGTAATCTGGGATCCAAGTGGTCATCTCATACTGGCAAGTACAACAAAAGCTGGAAACCCTTTGGCAGGTCTGATGCAGCAACAGTCCTGGAGTGAGAAAATATTTCAGCCCATGCTCCTCAAATGAAACTTTATGTTGACAGTTTCCCAACATCCTCTAACTACTCAGCCAGTGAAGGATACTAGTTTGTACAGTTTTTCTTTAGTGGCCGCTCTCCCAAGGAAACCGTGGCTTTGAAGAGTTTGGCATTGTACGGCACCCATGACACTGCTCTTCAAACTCACATTTCAACCACTTCTATCACTGCTGCTGACTGGGGACGCAAAAATGTACATAGATTGTGTTTGCACTCTCTTCTTCGCAAGCTGAAATTCAGTGGCAGATCTCTCTCCTTTTGTCAGGCATCGCCCATTGCTGGAAAGGCTGATGCAACCATTTTGCGCAAGTCGTTCTTTCACAATCACTTCCTCCAGCATTAAGCGCAGAAATAGCTCCCAGGGACAACTGCATTGACCTCCCCGTATCTCTACTTTCAATACTTACTGTTTGGTATGCATCGGAGGGTTGTTAACTGTACTGAGAAACAGAACATCTCAGCACAGCCAAATTATTTTGTTGTGTAGGTTTGGTAAAATGTTATCAATATATAGATTTATTTGGATATAAATGTTGGAGTCAAATTGTTTAGTCAGAGTACTAGAGAAACACTCAGCATTGTTTCATTTCCTAGGACACCACAGCCATATGTTATCAACAAATAGAAAATGCATAAGAATGGGAATGATATTCTGTCTGAAAAAGATGACACAGTTTGAAAGAAAGTATCCCTCTGTAAACATCCAAGGCAATTTTGAGAGGGGAGGTTTGATGATATTTATTTTAGCCTGACTGAATGGAAACACACGGTTGGTCAAATGGCCAAGCATGCTGCATGCATAAAAGGGTAGGGAGTCTTCCTACCAGCTATGAAAGGGAAACCCATTAAGTTCAAACACCAAACCTTCCTACTACAGTTTCCATTTTTTTTTTTTCTGTGTGTAGAAATTGTCATGATCTGCTGCCCACTTGCACCAAGAGGTACCTGCCTGAGAGCAGACAGACCGATTGATTCCTGCCACCTGCCACATGTCAGAGGGCCCACGGCGGCATCTGTGTGCTCAAGGGTGGCAAAGCCCAGGCAGAAGCCCCAGTGCATCTCATAGCAACCTTCAGTCCCACTGCGTTGAAATTAGCATTGCATATTAGGTTAAGAACTTGAGGCTTTCCAAAAAAAGGAATCGAAAGACTGAGATACCCTTGTATTTTCTGTCTGCTACAGAGGATGGGTGATAAGCATAACATTTTAAAATAGAGACAGAGCAGCTGTGGGACACAGCAGAGAAGGGAAACTGTCTTTTAGTAAAGGGATGTCATCAACTTCCCCAAAGCTACCTCTTCCTTCTGGCACCTCAGCTGGAATGTTCTTCTTCTTCAACAAGAAGACTCGAGGTAGGCACCAGCTATTTTTTCAGAAGTACCAACTTTCTCCTAACATCCAGGCTCAGCTCACTCTCATTGCACTTCTAAACGGGACAGGGTTTCTGGTTTCTCTCAGAAACAGAAGACCGGAGCAACCCTGCCCACCTTCCCATGCTGCAGTTCACAAACTAAGCAGCTCATTTCAGTAAGCTGCTTAAAAAGCCAAGAAATCAGGGTGGGCCTTCTGCTTGTTTCCATCAGTAGATTAAAAAGTCTACAAGCAGCACAACTTCTCTCTCTCTCTCTCTCTCTCTCTCTCACACGCTAGGTCAATTTGTCAGGATTTATCAGGTTATCTGGAGTCAGGAAGGTCTGAGGATGCTCAGGGTGGCCAGAAATGCCCTCCACAAGCTGCCCCCCACACAGAGACAAGGTACCAGCCACCTGCCTCCTAGAGCATCAGCTTCCAAATTGAGCTGCAGCCTGGACTCAAAACAACTTATTTTGAAATCAAAGAGTCTAAAGTAGGAGAAAGCTGCTGTCTTTTGAGGTGAGAATAGCATTTTTCTGATTTTTCTCTGTGTTTAGCAACACCACACAAGCCTTTGCCAGCAGGTAGATAGGGCTGAGACAGAGCTGTGGTCATCATTTTTGAAGCTCTCTTGCTTTAAATGTTCCCGTTTATCTGACAGCAGCACAAGAAGCACACGTTTCCCTCGGCCAGCTCTTCCCTGACGCCCAGCTACAGCCTTCGCAGCACCCCTGCCTCCTGCAGCTCAGTGCTGGGTCCCTGCATTGCCTCTGCTGGCAGAGGGACAGGCTCCTGCCAAAACCCTCCTCCACTAGTAAACTACTGCTGCTGCTAGACCGGGCAGCAACCAGCGATGGGGAGCTGTATTAGATGAGTGTTGACCAAAATAGACATAGAAACAGAAATATATTTACACGGGAGAGGACCCCTCGGATACGGACTTGTTGATCAAAAACCACGAACCAAGTGGCAACACTGGTCCTCAGTCAGTCTGCCATCAGAGTTATAAGGATTATTTCACTGTTATATCCTCGCTGCTCCCTCTTTCTGCATCGGTGTGGAGTTACTCAGGGAACGCGGCTTTAGGATCACACTCCAGTTGCTGGAGCCCTGCCGCCCTCTCCCCTCTGCCAGCCGGAGTTACCCACTTCTCCATCTGCCGCAGCATCTGGGCACTTTGTGCTCTTTAAAGCACTTCCCCTTCCCCGTCCCACACGAGAGGATCCTGCAGCCCGTCCCCTCTCTTCCTCTCTTTCCTCCTGTGTGTCAGCATCCACACTCCGAACTGCTTTTTGCTTTTCTGCTGAGAAAGGACAAGCGAGCAGTGCAGAAGGGGCCCAACCCAGCCGACACCCTGCCCCAGACCCCTCCCTCAAAGAAAAGGCAGAAGCAGTAGAGAAGGGAGGGAGTTCACAAATCCGCTAGCCAGCCTGCAATATGTGAAGTAATGCTTTCCAAATCTTTGCAAGCACCGCAAAACTGCTTCCTGATACTTACGCCTGGTAACCAGGATGTGTCAACGCGTCAGCTCGGCTGCAGCGGTGCCAGCCGGGCTGAGCCTGGGGCACTCTTCTCCTAACTGGAAGGAGATGGTGAGGAAAAGCAGTCAAATCT